TAGATAAACTCCTGGACGTTCTCAAACTATTAGGTCGGTCCATAGGTCTGCAACAAACTGGCCGAATTTTGAATTTAATATTTTCATTATCTTTTTGTTCCATTCATCCGGCATGCTACCCTCCATCAATATCTACAACCTATTGCCAACACACTAGTAGCTGCTCGATGCCTCCCTTGTAGGACTCTACTGAATTCTGATCGAAGAAAGATCAGATGTCGATTTTGACATCATCATAGTTAGGATGAGCTTTCTTCTCTAGGAGATGGTTTGGAGAGGGGAGCAGAAGGGCATTATTTGCCTCGAGGTCAGGGCTATAACGTGAATACGGAAGAACTCTCCGTCCCAGAGTCTCGAAATTTTCCTGAATTTTCTTAGCAAGAGGTTTTTCAACGGTGTCATACAAAAGCAAAACTTTGTGATGATGATTTGCCTTGTTTTTCTTTCGTATTAAAAGCGTTGCATTCGAGCTGTGGATAGTTGACTTTCGCGTTGACTGCGACATCTACACGGAGGGGTTTCCAGAGCTTAACTCCTCTCGTGTTCCACCAAAAATCCGAGAAGGCCCTACTTGGACGAGGTTGAACTTAAGCAATAAGATCTCCCGAAGCGTTTGAGCTGGACTACCGCCGCTTGTTCATTTGTTAGTAAACTGTACCCACTCCTCATCTTCGGCAAATGTGATGGATGGTCAATCGTAGAATCCCTAGTAAGTCGACTTTTGCAAGACTTATGGACCGACCTAATACATACATCCACTCCAAGTCGTTACAAGTCGCTAGCATTGTGAAAAGACAGGACCTCGCGGGGACAGACGATATACAAGTCAATGTTTTATATTTCCAGGCACCCCGGGAACTAAATAATTAAGCTCGAAGAGTTTGGTTGACCCGGGCGGCATACAACTCAGGATTTGATCCCCGGATCGTGCGCGGTAAAGCGCCACTCGCTGCTACACCATTTCCTCCTGACTGATTTGATAAACTCAGATAAGGGGGTGCTTTTCATTGAACTCGACCAGTCTAATTCCAGTTTCATGTTTTATTCATACGGAATTTAGGGCCCGAATAGGAAGCTATACTGTGAAACAATCCTTAGATTTGGAATAGAATGTGAAGGTTCTCTAATTGGGCACTTATCTTCAAAAATTATGAAAATTATAGCTAATATTATCTGAACTAACCTTAAGCCCTCACTTTTGGGAACTTGTTCTCGAACGGGGTGGCAAAAAACAGATTCCACTAAAGGAGTTTCCAATCAACGGAGCCTTGTTGCCTGGATTTGTGGGATACAGGCACGAGGGAAATTATGAAGTGCGCAAGGATGAAATCAACCTTGTAAATCAAATTTGCCCTTTGATCACCACCTAAAGAAACCTTTTCCTCAACTGCGAAGACGTTGATATGCAGGCCAATAATAATCATTACCTGCACGCTCAACCGTTCTTACAAGTAACCTTGTATACGGTGACTATGTGGGACCACCTGCGGTGATATCTGGGTGGCAAATGACCCAGATGCACTATACAGAATGCTCCAATCGCAAGATCGCCTCTGCTTTTTTCCAATAACAAATGACTCATGTCTTATGGTATTTATCTTGTTC